TTTAATCTCAGGTAAAGAAATTCATAAAATTTTGAAGTACCAGATAGTGTGGAAAACATTTTTTTTTTTTGTAAATAAAATGAAGTCAACTGAAAGAACCAAGAAAAAACAACAAAAAAGGGAAATCACTTTCAAAAATCATTACAATCTCTATCAGCTACTTTTGATACTAACCATTCTTTGTATCGTATAGTTGAATGTTTTAAAAGACCGATCATTTTTCGAGCCTCTAATGAGATCTCTCAAAGTTGTAAGAGCTCGAAGCGATGGGGAAATGAGTATCTCATTTCCACAGCATCTAATATTACACATCCAACGTATTTACGCCTAACGCCATGATTTGTATGACTTAAATTAAAATTTTTTTAAAGGTATTTTTAAATCTCTTAGAGAAAATATTACTATTGATGTGAAAGAAAAGAAGTATTTTGAAAACGACAAAATAACGGTTCACATGTTAAAAATGCGTCCCCTCTAGGCAATCTTTATATCTTTAATAGTATATTGCTATATTTTCCTAAGCCCTCGTTACTAAAGGCCTATTAGCTTAATTAAGATATTGTCCAAAATCTTCGAAAAACTTTTATTAAAGAAAATATAATCGATTTTGGATTAGTCATGAGATGCCATCAAATTCAGGTTTAGAGAATCACAATATAACAGGTGCATATAATCGTAACACACATAAAATGAGCCCATCAAAGCAAGGAATATGCAGCGTTCCTTATGTTCCTCAGACTTTCATTAAAATTTGGCTAGATGGACAATAACACAAGCTAAGAGTTACTCTTGCCGTCCGAGCTTTCTTATTGGCAGAAAATTTCGAGTTATATTGGCTGTTGTGCCACAACAAAGTGTTTTAGGGCCCGTCTCATAATTAATTTATACTTGCGATCTTCCCACATACCGAAATCTCATCACATCAACTTTTACGGCCGATCCGGCAATATCTAGTGTACAATGTAAAACGAATAAAATAATGGCTAAATACTTAGAGAATAAAAGTCAATGAGTCGAAGCGTTTACAAATAACATTTACTCAAGAAAAGATACATGTTGCATCTCTGTAAATGGTAATACCTTAAGAAGGCCTCGTTACTTAGGTAAAAAGATTGCCCAAACTCAATTGAAAAGTAGGAATTTGCATTGGTTGGTGCAGTGTCACTTTTTAATACGCTTATAAAGCCGCTTACGCTTGTACGTACGAAATCCAACTTTGGAGCTCAGTATCTAAATCTAGTATAGATAGAACTCAAAGACTACAGACTAAAACCTTAAAAGCTGTTGGGGGGGGCCTCTCGGTATGTTGAAAAACTCCGCAAATCACAACAATCTCAGAATCAATACCGTTTGAACTATGCTTTAAGACTCAAACGCATTTAATTTTACTAGATTGGATGTATTTTCCCCTTATACCTTCAAAAAATTTATTACAATTTACTTTATGCTCTCCTTTGTGATATTTGTTTAGTGAAATTTCAATCCTTAATGATATCTATATAAACACACTATTTGTTTGAGCAAATTATATTTATATTTATAATTTATTGTATTTTGTTTCCTTTGTTAATGATGCAGAGACAATGGTTAGCTTGTATTTAACATAGAAGTTGGTTTTAAGATTTTCGAAATTATTGTTAGTTTCTGAAAAGAAAGATTCGATAAAATACTTTGAAAATGAATGATATAAAAAAGGAAAATTATTATTAAAATAAAATAAAACAAATCAAATTTACACATAATTAAAAAATAAAAATGTCGATGTTATATTAGAAAATGTAGCTTAATTTTTTTATTTAAATTAATTTTCTATAATTTTTGGACGCTGGCCGAACCAGGACTCGAACCCCAGCCTTTCTAATAGCAGTACGGAATGCTAACCACTCGGCTACCGCGGCCGATGCATATGGTATGAAATAGTTAGATTTCTAAGAGAATGTGTTATATATACATATAAAGGGTTTCCCAAAAGCATTGATATGATTTCTAAGTCTCGTTTTGCCCATTTTTAAAATGTCGTGATCTGTCATTTTTTTCTTTGTATTCATTAATGTTTACGAGAGAACAACGCTTACAAACCACAACAACAACTTCAAAACGATAACAATTTTTTTAAGAATATCATCTTCCCCGTTGAGGTCCACTCTCAACTGAGTGGTGCGGAAAACAAACAATCGATTCTGATGTGAAGAAAATCCCTAAGTTATTCATAAACAACCTAAAATTACAGTTTGGTATGTGGTCTTGCTCTGTTGGTATCATCGGTCCGTACTTCCTTCGAAATGAAGCTGATAGCACCGTTACTGTTAATGTAGAGCGGTATAGTTCGATGATAACCAACTTATTATGACCACAATTGGAAGAAGTTGATCTTAACAACATCTAGTTCTACGTGTCACACAGCACGTGCAACTACCAAATTATTGCAAAAAAAAGGTTTGGAGATTCGATTATTTCAAGAGATTGTGACATTAAGAAGTCGTGACATAAACCATTAGACTACTTCTTGTGGTATTATTTGAAGTCATTGGTATTTAGCAATAAACCAGGTCATCTAAGAACTTTGAAAAAGCTTTAGTGGAAGAAGTCGTGGAGGCGATTTGAATGATGTTATATTCAGAACTTAATTATATCGATTGCCCTTGTTACATTAAATAAAAAACATTTGAATTCACTTAACAATTAGTGTGTTTTTTTTTCTTTAAAGAATTCATATCACTCTTTTGGGAAAGAGAAGTAGAGATTAAAGATTTTAAATTAAACTAAAAATATGTGAGGGGGTTAAGATTAAAAATATTTTGAGAAGGAGAAATTATGTTTTCATGATACAAAATAAAAAATAAGTAATTTTATTAGAGATATTTGCTCAAGGGGATGCTTGGTAAATTGGTTTCAAGTAAAATTATTAGGTATAAATTACATAAAGCAAAAGATATATTTAAAATAACATATTTTTATATACTTTTCGCACATCTACTACTTTATATTTGCAACTTTTTGTATTAACTTGTGCTTTTTTATAGCGAAAATTTCATTAAAAATATATGTAAAATTTATTTTAAATTAGGAAAAACATTCATTCTATTTAATCTAGTACTTACGAGTTCAATTTTCAATACCAATAGTTAGAAAACAGTGGATATAAAGCATCTCAAATTGCAAAAGATTGCTTTTAACAGAAGAGAGCTTTTTTCAAAGGAAAACTTTAATGAATTTCATAGATAACCTTTGTTAATTTACATAAAATTCTTAAATTAAACCTCATATATCTTAATTTTAAAATTAGTAAATATTAAGATCTTTTAGAAGGGCAGTTACTCATAAATTTTATATTTTTCTTTAATTATTAATTTGTGTGAAGTTACATGTCAATGACAAACACTGTAGAAATACAAATTTTTAGCTTTTTTTAAATTTATTTTTAGCAGTCTATATCACCGTCAATTGTGTTTTACTTGCCGCTGGTAGTTAAAGGGATTTCCGTGACTGGGAACAAATTGCCACCTACCACACGGTACTTTTACATAGCTACTTACTGAAGGAAAAAATGTATATGTCTCTATATGGATGTGTGTGTGAGTGTATGCCTCGCTTACAACAAACATAGAAATTTCATTGTCATCTTGTTGTCTACACAAATTTTCCACTAATTCATGTTAATTACAGGTGGTGAGCTGTTGCAATCTCCTCTTACTTTTTGAAATACATATATACTCATGTGTACAAACGTCTATAGGTGTGCACCAGCATAGAGAGTACTTAATTAAAACCCTTCAAAATACAAACGACTTAAGCGAGCAACCTGAAAAATGCATGCGAATGAATATATGTATGTGTGTGAGTACTGTTGTAGCACATGAATAGTATTCGTAAAGCCACAAAATTAGTAGCAAGACATAATTAAAGTAACCACCATTAAATATACACACATAAAAATGTGTGTTTAAATGCCAACAACTCTATCGGCTGGCCCAAACCGCACAAATCAAATGACTTCAGTAACAATGAAATGCGACAATTTAATAACGCAATCTCGCACAGCAGGCACGCACATCGAAACAGTTTTATAGAAAACCAAAAAAATTCAAAAAAAGAATTAAAAAATGCCCGCACGAATTGGCACCAGAAATAACAAAAGTAATATTGAGGCAACAAAGAAATATAAAAATCAGTAAATAAACGTAAAATACTTGTCAGCCAACAAAAACGCCAAACACTTTTGCCAACTGTAATTTAAAATAACGGATATATGTTCGTATATGAAGGTATAAGGGTATTATTTTGTGCGGCCACTTCCTAAATCAGCAAGTATGCGCCCGCTGCTGCTTTTTTGACCTGCAAACCATCAAACCAACCCACCACAACATTTAATCAGCACACCTCAACACCGCGTAACGAAATTAATTTTATGCTTTTTTGACTTAACTGCAATTTCATTTTGTTTCCATAGCACTTACAGCGCCCCAACAGCAATAATTCAGCAGCATTAGACAAACTAGCGCATTTCAAAGCAAAGTCAATCGCATAACCCAAGCCAAGTAGACGTGAGCGGTGACAGCACAGTTGGCGGATGCTCAAACTCTGCTGACTTCGCTGTTAACTTTTACGAAAACACACGCTAAGACAACACTGAAAACAATGAGGACGTCTGTATCTCAGCTCGCAGCTCGCTGTTCACAACTCACCGCGCAGCTGTAAGCCTTTCCCTTTCAATTAAAGCGAAAAAAAGAGCACAAATGAAACCCCAAGCCAAGCTAACAACAGAAAATCCGGCAAAGGAGCAGTCAGCTAAGCCAAGAGAAGAAAAAATTAGCATCGCTTGTTACATGTAGCAGCCACAATACGTCTTACTATTCGCTTCTCTGCTGCTGACACTACAAAGTTCAACGCTAAGCGCCGGCGCAACGCTCGTTCGTCTCTGGCGGCGATGGTCTCTTTTGGGTGCAAAGTTTTATAAATGCTAGTGTCGCCGCACAATTCAAAGATTCGTCTTTCGGTCGTGCAACACTCAACTACTAAGCTTCATACTAACTGCTTCTTTTTGTTTGGAAAACGTCGGTCGCGTTCCGCTTAACAACATAAATAAATACAAGGTGCTCGTGGTCGTCTTTCACACGGATACGCTGCTGTCGAACTAAAAAAAAAAATAATTGTTTTTGCAAACTTTTTTCTTTTATTATCGTTATTTTGTGCGCCTTTTGGCCCACGGCAACGGATACTGTAATTTTCTTGGCTTGGCTTGTACTTAAGCTGTTTATATTTTTGTTGTTGTTCCTGCTATGTGGAGTAAATTGTACTTTGTCAGCGTTATAAAGCACGATTTTCAATTGTGACAGCGATTTGCTAAATTTCAAAAGGAAAACAGCAAAAACTTACAAAAATACCAATAAAAACAACAACATTCAAACAAAGAAAAAAAGAAGAAAATTATAAAAAGCGAAATTAAATGTGCAAAGTTTTGTAATACCAAGCGTAACAAAAATTTTCTGTGCCCATTTTTTTATTTTTTGCAGTGTCACTGCTGTGTGTGTGAAAACATTGTTGAACATAAAATAATAACGCCAACGGCGGAACTGTGCCTACTTGCCTTGCAAAAAGCATGTTGAGTGATACTTAGGATGTTGTCACTTTCTTGTTGTTGGATTGTGAATTGATTGATGCATGATTGATTAAGTGTGCTGAAAAGTGTGGAAATTAATTTTTGTTTCATAAACTAACTAGTCCTTTCAACGAACGCGTATTACACACATAAGACTACAACAACAACAGCGAATTAAACAATCTGTGGATTAAAAAATCATCGCCAAAATGAGAGGAAGTCTAGCAATTTGCTACTTGCTACTTATTGGTAAGAAGAACAAAATGTGAAACAAGAAATGTTTAATCTGATATTTTAAGTTTTTCTATGGAGAATTACCATTTTAAGGGCGAAAGTGATACTTGCAATGCACACATCCACATCCTTTAAAGATTTTTCAAACTAAAACAATGATTTTTTTATATTTCAAATGGAATTTTTCTCAATGCAAAATATATCTCAATAAATAGTAAGGAGTTAGCTCTTTTATTCAATAAGCCTTATTACATAATAAACATATATCCTTCTGCTCAGCAGACCATTTTAGGTATCTTTCTGAAAGTAATTATGATAGAGTCATCTCATTATTTATGTAATTTTTCATGGCAATAATAATAAACAAATATTGTATAACTAAAAATATTTAGCCAAGCATCCTTTTCAGTTTTGATCAATATCTTTTACTCTAAGCTCATTTCTTCACTCTTCATATGTTTTTACAAAATATTTCAATAATTCTTAAAATATTCTGTAATTTAAAAAAAAAAAACATATTTCAATTTTTCCTTGCCTAAGACAATCTGAAAAAATAGCAAGAAAGACCATATAACAAACCGTTTATGCCCGTATCAAGTCTATAGTGTTTCATTTTAAGATTCAAAGTTAGTTCTCATGTGTGGAACTATATGATTTAGTCCTCTCATTGCGATGTTTGCGGTGTCAATATTTATTTGTCTATACCAAATTTTATGTTATTAGATTTATTGAAGTATTTATAACCTTAAGACACATGTCTTAAATGGGTTATTTGGGAGCTAAATCTTATAGTCGTCCGATCTGGCAAGTTTCGTTAAAAGATCTGATTACCAAGTTTGGTTGAAATAGTTAAAAACCTGAGGGCCTCTTTTGCGTATAAATTCAGTTCGTCATATTGATCGTATGTGTACGTTTTGTTGGGTCTACCTCTTTTTTAAGTGACACTTACATAGTTCGTGTTAAAATTAATATACCATTTCTTAATATCAAAATTGATACAGCCGTTTTAAATCATTTTGGGCATAGCTTGATCAGCAAAGGAAGTGTGGACAGATCAGGCTACATACCATGTTACATTGTCCGTAAAAAAAGGTTAAACCAGTCAAAATGGGTACTTAGATCGAGCAGTACTGTGCAGTATGCCAATAAACATCATCCAGACGTACGGATAAATGTTTGTCGATAGTGTGGAAGTCAAAAATTATTGCACCATGTTGAGTCACAATCAAAATGAAATACCAAAGATGCTTAAGAGTTTGTACATTGTAATTGAGAAGAGCATAGGAAGCGAGATATGCCAAAATACAGGTCATAATCTGCTGCCGTCACGTGCCTGTAAAATGGATATCTACTTTGCTATATTGGCGGCCGCAGTAGCCGAGTGGTTAGCATTGTGTACTGCCGTTTGGAATGCTCGGGTTCAAATCCCCGTGCGACCAACAGCCAAAAATTATTGAAAATTAATTTAAATAAAAAATTTAGCTAAATTTTGTAAATTAGAGTGTATTTCTGACATGAAATAAAGCTCCTCATGGAAAACCATCAGCCGTTCGGAGGCGACTTAGTACAAACTGTAGGCCCATCCATTTGTGGGAAAAACATCAAGACGCAAAACCACTAATTGGAGGAGGAGCTCGGATAAAAATCGCTTCAGCGGTTGCAAAGCGCCAATTATATATATATATATATATATTATATATGAATGAATGGTAATAGAATAAATGCCATAAATATGAAGTAGTGCTCGATTCCTGGTTCATCCAACACAAGAAATTATAGACAATTAATTTTTCTAATTGCGGTTGCCCCTCAAGCGCTCGGAGTGTATTTTTTACATGAAATAAAAGCTTTGCACAAAACCCTACCGGCCGTGTAGAGGGGACGTAGAATAAGCTGTAGGCCTCTAAAACATCAAGACGCATACCTCAAATTGATGGAAGTGCTTGGCCGAAAATCACCACAGCGATTGTAAAGCGAAAATTAAATTACATTATAAGAACCGCTAAAATTATTTACAGCGGAGCTTTTGCTCTAACTTGTGGTGCTCGCCCGGATGATCTTCCAGCCAATGGACGGCTCTTCAATTTATTCTAAGCCACATCTGAAGGCCTGAAGATTTAATGAGGAGGTTGGAAATATGAATATAAATTGAAGTAGTTATTAACAAAAAATAGTTGCTTATCCTTGAAAATTTGTGCCTACTGTGAACAAGGGGCAACCGCAATTAATTTTTTGCCCAAAAATTTTAAGTAAGCTCGGATTCGAGCCCATTACCTTCCACTTGGTAGCATACACTAATACGCGTATATATATGTATCTATATATGTATGTAAAGCATATGGATAATAAAATTCGAATCTCTTAATGCCTTAGTCCTTGAAAAATTGAATGACTTTCTTCAGATATTGCATTTATTTTATATGAAATATATATATTTTTTTAACGGTTTTTAAAAATATTTTTGAGTATATTTATACACCGATTTTCAGCCAAAATGTTTTAAAATTTAATAAATTTATCCTTCCCTTTTCAGGCATTTTAAATGGTGTTACTACCGCGTCAACAAGTGATTCCAAACCAACGGCAAGCAGTGTTGAACCAACCGCTGCGGCGACATTGGTCGAACCCACTTCGCTCACATCCACTTCGACACCCGCTGAGACAGCCAAAGATAAACGTCAAGTCGGAGCTAAAGATGAAGCTGTCTATGCAAATCATCGCGCCGATACAACCGACGCTGATGATCCGGAAAACCCGCAGGAAACTATTTACGGCCCCAAACCAACACAATTCCTCATACGTCCCATTGCACCACACGAGCATCAGCAGCATGAAGATCATCAGCCGCCACAGTTGCGTAACTATCCGGCGACAATAAGGCCACACAGCACACAATTGCTGGAGCAAAGTCAAGAGGTGAGTGTGAAGTGGAGTTAAGTGGAAAATCGCTCATTGGCTTGATGGTTGTTGTTGCTGCTGCTGCTGTCAGTGAAGCTATCAAATTACACGGGTATTTACTCACAAACTATTAGGCAGCAACAACAACAACATCGCAAAATGTTAATTAGATAATTCGAAGCTGGCAGAGGCAACAGCAAAGATTTTGTTGTTTTCTTTTGATTATTTTTTTTTTTTACAAAGCGAGACAAGCAAAAATTGCTTAGCTTCGCTGTTAGTTAAGCTAAGCGCAAGTGTTATAGGGGTTCACTTTACGACAACTGCTCTCAGCAAATATTTCTTTATTTTTTCTATTTTTGGTTTTGTTTCGATTTTCGTTGCAACCGAAAGGGTAAAAAGACTCATCCATTTCGTTTTGGCGGCAGAGATTCATTCATTGATTGCAATGCCAGTTGTTCATCTTTGTGCAACAACAACAAAAGTGCGCTTTCGAAGTGCAAATTTGTACTCAGGTCGCAGTCGTGACTGGTTTTGTTTGCACGATTCTTGAATCAAAACATTTTAGCGTAATGCTTTGATCCAAGCAATGTCGTTGTCGGTGGCGGTGGCGGTGGTGGTCAAACGCAATTAACATGTTGGCAAATCCGTAAAACTATCAAAGTTATTACATTGCTCGAGACTAAGATTTTTCTCCCGACTGGCTGATATGTACTGATATAAATGTATGTGAATGTTTGTGTGTATGCCTGTGTATAGCCACATAGATTTATTTCAGCTTAACATACTTTGCTTATATGTTTTACTCACATATATATCCACAAAAGGTATGTTCAAAACAGATATGAATAAATTATATTTATCCGGAATCGAAATACCACTATGAATCAAATATCATACTGAAATATATTTATGGATTCCTACTTAGAAGTGAATAGCCAAAAATATTGAAAAATAGTAAGCAGAGGCTTAATGCATCTACTGACTTATGCGATAATTAATGTTTTTTAATAACAAAATATCTTTAAAATCTTCTTCTTCATTGTCATACCATACCATATCTCGCCATTCATCTCTTCTTTTCGCCATTTGGCACCAGTTATAAATACCAAAAATACCAAGTCTCTATCTATCTGATTTTTTCTCTGCTTCCACTCGCTGGTACTGCGATGAATACTTTTAAAACTCGAGTGCTTTCATCCATTCGGACGGCATGACCTAGCCATCGTGGCTATTATCTCTTCATTCGCTGAACATCGTCTGCGATATTCGCCGTTGCTAGTGCGCAAAGGGCCATAAATCTTACGCAAAACCTTTCTCTCGAAAACTCCTAACGTCGACTCATCAGATAATGTAAGACGGGTATGATGAGTGACTTGTAGAGTTTGTTTCTTGTTCGTCGAGAGAGAGCTCTACTTTTCAATTGCCATTTGCTCGGTCCAAAGTAGCGCCAGTTGGCAAGGGTGATTCTGCATCGAATTTCCAGGTTGCCGATATTCTTGGAGTTAATGCTGGCCACTCGAAGTTATGACTGTCAACAGTGTCGTGGGCGCCGTGCCACGAATGCGTCGACTGTTTGATTGATGACAGGAGATATTTCGTCTTGTTCCCGTTCACTACCAGACCCATTCGCCTCTCTTCTCTAACAAGTCTGGAGAAAGCACAACTAACGGCGCGGTTGTTAAAGCCTATGATATCAATATCATCGACATACTCGTACACCATTAGTTGTACACTCTTCTAAAAGATTGGACCTTGTATATAATACAGCTCTGCTGCTCTTATTTCTCTTCAGCATAAAATTGGCGCTTTGAACTTCACTGTTAAGTTTCAATCAGTTTAGTCTTTTCCACGGTAATTGGCGCAGACTGTGGGGTCCCCTTTTTTATGAATAGGGCAGAGCACACTTAAATTCCAATCGTCGTCAAAGCGTCTTCACCACCATGTTTGAATAGCTCTGGCTGTCAGCTCCAGCCGCTTGGTTGTTTTTTAAGCGGACAATTGCTATTCGAAAACCCCAATAATTTTGCACCTTAGATAGGTCAATGCATCAAAGTAAAATACAAAAGAAGCTATTCGAATGTCATCATTTTTAATTATTTTGTATTTACATCTTCCTGTGTTTTATTATTTTATATCCTTTTCCAATTATATTTGAATAGTGTATCGGAATTATATATACGAGAAAAATATTAAATGCAAGGGAAAATTATATTTAAATACTTTCAAAAATGTTTATGTTTCTAAAGTATTTATTAATTTATGAGCAAATTTAATTAATTTTTATGGACTGGGTTGAGTTCATGTCACTCTTACTCAAACGACCTACATACTCTTATATCATCTTCCGAGTCATTTGGTGTGTGGATGTTTAACCTAGATGAGGTTAGCTAAGCAAGACATTAATTTGCATTATTAAAAAACGACGTTATAAGCGAATCTTCTACAGAAATTTAATTTGTTAAAATTGTTCATTCTCTTGATAGTGGATCCGCTGGGCAATTAGGGATTATGGTTCAACGCCACTCTTGGCATGCAGTACGGTAACATTGTGGAGATAGCAGCTTGGCTTATTAGATTAAATATTAGCTAAATTAATTTTTACTGTCGATAAGAGCAGCTTTTGGCAGCTCTGTAATAACAATAAATTCTGCTTTGAACCCGCTGCAGTGGTCTGATATCCTCGCACTACAAACTTTTTACCGAAGTTAGCTTTTTTTTACTTTAAAGGGCTCAAGGCTTCGTTTGAATTGAAAGTTACAAATTTTTTGTAACCTATCTTTTATAGAAATTTCCACAATCAAATCCAGCACCACATCAAACATTTTAGATTAGTGTGAATTCAAACGATTTTGTCAAGCAACATGGCGAATAAAGATGGTATATGAGTTAAGCTACTTAGATATTTCTGATATGGATTTTGGTAAAGTTATAAGCCCACACAAGTATGCCGTCACACTGCACGCCATGAGTCGCAATATTTAGAAAATCTCGATTCATTGTACTATTTTGCCACTTCTTCCTTGCTTTTGCTGCAGCACAACTTCGAAATAACATCAAAGATTTTTTTGTATTTCTGTTAAGGAGACGAGATGAGATGATGAAGTAATCTCGAACATCTTGCTTCTTCCCACATTTCGCATACAAAGTTTAGTAATATAAATTGCTTCTTAAAAAAACGCTATGCCTTTTATCGGTACCGTAATAACATTTAATTGGCACCAAAAAAAAGCATATGATATTATTTATATGTTACATAATACATATATACGAGTATGTAGAAATCAAATAATTACCATAACTAGTAAAATGTCATATTCAATGTCATTGAGGTCATGTTGCAGCCACAAAGTACACAAATAATCGTTTTGCCAATCGTCAAAGAAATAAATTAGTGGGCAAAGGTGGGTCTTAAGCTCAAGGTAGAGCCTTAAATTGTCAAATAACGTAGAAAAAATGCACTAAAAAAGTAAGACTATTACAATATAACACATAGAATAAGCCACAAATCGATTTGCGAAAAATAGCATTGCACTGAATAAGCGTCAAATTGTATCACTAAAGAATAAAATCGAATCAAATCTGAAATCGCGCTTTTCGCTTAAGTCTTTTGTAGATTCGCACGCGACATTTGGCCTGTAAAAATGTACAAATATTATTTATTTAAATAAAAATTCGATTTATTATTTATTTTTGTATAGTTATTTCTTCAAGAGCATTGTAGTGAGTAGATTCAAATTTATTTTTCACATGTTTAAAAAATACGGTTTGTTATCCCTGCAAAGTGTTCATTTGCTTTAATAACTCACCTTGACCGAAATATAATTTATGGTTATTTATAAATACATCAGCAATTTATATTTGTGGCAGTGCAATTTTCGTACAGTAATTACTTAAAATTTAACCTTTGCAATAGGCACACCTCCGCCCGCAATTTGGAACCAAAGAAAAATAATTATTTTCTTTTGCGTGTCAATGGCGACAATTAAAGTCAAAGTAAGTCATGACTGTTTATGTACATTTTTTTATGACAACAACTACAGCAAAAACAACCAAATCATTTATAAAAACAAAGGGAATGCAGCAAGTGTAATGAAATGATGTCATAATAACCGAGACTAAGTTGCATCATAAACATATTAACTCCTGTAATTTCACTCTTATGAAATACAAAAAAAAAAAAAATACAACAACTACATGTCACGAAAAATTGCATAAAACAAACAATAGTGTCCAAAAATTGCAACAATAATAATGAATAAAAAACTACAGTCTAAATAACAATCGCTTGACTTGTGGGAATCATAGTCAGAATTCACATCCATATTAAGTCATCCAAAACCACATATTGACTGTGCATGCGCTTATGCATGTACGTATATCGGCCTATACATATGGTACTAACAGAAATAAGACAAAATGAAAAGAATAATGGTTTACCAACTTTCGTCGTAATCATATTCCATCACATCACATCATCACATCACATCACATTTCGAACCATCGTCAACCATGAAAGTGTAATTTAAATAAAGATTTCCAAAAGTTTATTGTTCAACGCGTCGCAAGTGACACATTAAAAATTAAAAGGATGCCTTTCATTCTTAGCTTTTGACTTGATATCCATAATTTGTGTTAAGTATGATTTTCGACGGTTTTTTTTTCTTCAGGTAAATTAAAAAAAATAATTATGCGGGGCACAGTGCCTTCCTCCGTAGAGAAAAATTTCATTGTATGCGATATGCAATTGTGGTATTTTTGAAAAATTATTCATCCGGTGTGAAAATTTCGATAGAATTTTTCGCTAAAATGTATTATATTAACCGCTACAACAATAACAGCATGGAAAGGAATTTACTTTTCAACTGCAATTTTAAAGATCTAGGACTTTAAAGTTATTAATGTCAATAGTGATGAAGAAACTGAAACGAGATCTCGCTACCTGGAAATAAACTGTCAAAATTACATCTTTCAAACGTTTTTATTGTTTTCCAATTCATTTGAAAATCCCATTAATAAGG